ACACGAAATAGGGTGAATACATCTCATTACAATGATTTCCTGGTAGTTTCGAAACCCTACTTTCATACAAGTATAGATTCAGTTCTTACAAAATTTTTTTATGCCATAAAAACAAACAAAACACAATAAAAATAATCAATATACTAGTTTAAAGGAATACCTTTTAATAATGGTGCATTTTAAAACAAATAATTAATTATTAATAATGAAAGTATTAGCTAAATAATATAATATATCAAGCATTCAAACGCTTGAATGTTAGGTGTAAAATAAAAGCATAAATATTAATTATTATTAATAAAACATATAAATAAAAAAAATTTATTTTATTCAATTTAAAAACAAACTTTTTAAATATTCATAAAATAGTTAATTAAAAACATTATTTTGTTTTAATATGTTAAATATAAAAAGTATGCAGTTTAGCCATAAACGCGGTGTTGGCAAACATCTCTAAAATTTTCCCAAATTAAATTTTTAATCTGTTTTTACAGGAGGTATTTTCTTTAATTAAATTATTAGTTTAAATAAATAATACTTGATTTAAACTATTTTAAATTTATTTTATAACTTTGTTGTAGATTATTTACTTCAGAATTATTTTCAGAATAATTATTAGAAATGATTAATTATTGTATTACATTCTTCTACATGAAAGAATAATATATATTATTTTTTGACTTATTTATTCAAATTAAACAAATTTACTTTTATTATTCTCTCTCCAACATGTACAACTACTCATTATATATAAACTTCTATTTATTTACTTATTTCTTTGGTATTTCTTGCTTTCTATTGACCGAAATCCTTTACGTTGCATTATCAAATTTCTACAGAGGAGTAATTAACTGAATCTTCTTATTTATTTTTATTTATACTAGTTTTAAATATCGAATTTACTATTTATTTTTTGTTTTTCTCTATACGAGTGCCCGTTACTTCTTTTATGCTTCCAATAGCTTTGTTTCTAATATTGTAAATATCAATCAATTTATTCTTATGTATTTTTATCTAGAATATTTTTTGGTTCGCAATGTATTTACTTGTGAATTAAAATCTGATAAAGTATAGATGATGTAAATATCTTAGAGAAATAATCAATTTTCTATATGAGTATAAAAACTCGTTTTTATCAGTCCAATAGTTTTGGTTTGATCTGAAATCTAAAGGTATCATATTTTGCGTTTTGGAGTTGAAAATGCTGCTTTGTAGCTAAAAACTGTTTATTAGTGTTGATTAGGGACGTTGAAATTGAAATAAAGTCTAGAATATAAAAGCTTTTTTTCAACCTCAGTGGATCTTATACTCATCTAACTGTGAGCGTCTAACTCTCACTCTTTCTCTTATTGTAAATGTCGCTCGTCGACTTGATTTCCTCTAAATAGATTAGCCGACAGTTTACAACATGCTACTATGGACATTTTAATATCAAAAAGTTAAATGGAGCATACAACCCTGCGTATCGATACTAGTACTACTATAAATGTGGGTTGGGAACAGCCTGGCATGCCCCCAAATTAAAATTCTATTAGAATACGGTGGTGGATCGCGGAGTGGTAACATTGCTGCGTTATGCTGTCTGACAGGTTTTTAATTCCTTTAGCGGCTCTAATAAGACCCAGGGGAGATATAAACTGCCGTCCATTTCAGATGAGAAAGCTTCGTTGGAGCTACAAAATGGTATACCAAAACCTTATACTCAGTTTATCATAGATAATTCAGCTCTCAGTCACTCAGTAGCCATTAGCGACCTAAAGTGAGTAAATCGCTTGTAATGCTTAGTTTGTCTGTACCTGTATGGTAGATACCTCAGATCATTATGAGGAATTTTTTTATTTCAATAATTTTTTAAAAATCGAGATTTACTCAGCTCTACTAGCTTAGAGAGCTCCTATGAATATCTCATCCCTATAAACAAAAACATTTAGTCATTTTTTGCTAGGACTCAAATTCTGCATAAATTAGCAGCATGAAAACCTTTTTTACAGGCATTGGTTTTGAGAGTCTAAGCGTTTATCGGAAATGCCTTTGTATTAGTTTTTGACTGCTGCTAACCAATTTTTCTTTAGATTTCTAAACTACAAGATTGTTAAGTATTATAAAATATTATCGACTCTTCATGAATTCATTGGGATTCTATTCAACTTATAGCCAGACTTAGAAATCAATTGTCAGCAGGATTTATAATTAGATTTCAAGAATTTCTGCCTTATTCAAATGCACAAGCCAATAATACTTTTAGTTTAAAAATAACTCAGCTAGAACTAATTTTATATGATACATTTAGCCTTATAAATCAGTTTGCGCCTATTTAAATATTACTTGAAAGTAGGTTTTTACTTAGGTTTACGTTCTCTCTAGAAGAGTACTGTAGAATTCTACATCAGAGGTGGGTTTTATTTATTGTAAGTGACGTTTTTGATCAAGTTCAATCCCTTAAGTTCTTCTATTTAAAATTTTGTTGATGATAGTATTACTTTGCATTGATTATGAATGCTTAACCTTTGTTATTATTACATATAGTAAATTTTAGGCAAGCCATATTGCATATAATCTGGAGTGAAAAGTAAGGGCCTAACTAATGCAAGTTTATATACCGTAGAACTTTTAATGCTGGGGTTACACACTGCTTTACAATAAATTCCTTCTTACGGAAAAATAACGTAGTTATTCAATATCATTTGCTTAATAAACCTTTTGATAACATTTATATAGGCTTTTTATATTGAAGATTTTTGAATTATATTATAGCGAACTAAACTTTACGGTGTCTTTGCAGGTGTTCAGCTTGTTCAATGAAGCCTCTTGCCAGAATCTATCCTCCTGGGGATCCCCTTATCTGGATAATTGGCCTGTTTAACCTACTCATCACAACTTACCTTGCCAGCCGGCATTTTGCAGTTTTTGCCTGCGATGTTGATGTAGAGAGTAACAATAAGGCAACACTTTCCTCAGGCACGCACATTCTGACAGCACCAAATCATGACATCGTGTTAATTTGCTGTGGTGGGGTTAAATGGACATATGAAAGTGTTCCAGATAGAATGCAGAGCTATGAGATCCAACCTCATCCTATGGCACAGCGTTATAACTCCCTTCGACGTGGCTTACCCAATATGGAGACGCGTCCACGTTCTGCAGGTCTCGGCTACCTGCCTGGCTCTGCGGACCTCAGCCAGCCAATAAGCTACGACTTGGCTAAACCTATGGAACAGCTTCAACTGCCTAGTATGTCGCCAATGTGGCGTCGTTCCAACACTGCGGAAGGAATAGCATATTCTAAGGTCATAGAATCTGACTTAGGCATCGGTGGTAGCATGCTAGAAACATCACTGAACAATTCAGAAGACCAAGGGATGTCAGAAATCCATAATGTGTTGGTCATGAAGCCCGATGAACTGGACGAACCGAATACCTACTTTGGGAATGAGAATAAAGCCGAGAACTTGTTAAATCTTCGTCGAGCAAGATATACAAATCCGGTGAGCCAAAAATAAACATATCTAGCTGCATTGCTTAGTATATTTGGCTTTTTACTGAACTACTTAGTACGAAATTTTGCATTGCTGCATATTATCATAATGATTTGTTTAATAAGGACAGGATCGGTTTCCTTCATCCTAAAATGATACTTGCTTAAGTATTACATTCCTGCTTTAATAGTTGAAACTTATGTAGAAAAATATATTAAAATAGAGTATCTACTTAGATCATATTGCATAGTATGACTGTCTGCCTTGAGGGGCAATTTCCTGAGTTCTACCTGAATTCCAATTCCACATACAACCAGTAAATACGATAGAAGCCTTCTATGCGGGCGTGTGCGTATTTTATTCGAAACAATAATTTTGC